TCGGCACGCGGTGGAGAATGCACTCGCTTATACGCCGTAAACGCGAATGGACGATATGATGGGAGGAGGAACGAGGGATGAGCAGGGAAAGGGCAGGGGAAAGCGCGAAGAGAGAAAGCGGGAGATATTTCGCGCGATGCATTTTCCACGGAGTCACACGTGCACATCCCTCGTCCGAAATGCTCACGGGCGCGGAAAACACCGCCGCTGGTGATATATATTTCTCCACGCGGTCTGCGATCCCGACTGCGGAAAAAATGCGAGTAATCGCAGCCGCGGTGACTTTTTGCCTCGCGGAGGAATCATTGGACGCGGCTCTCATTTACCGCATTTTTGTGGAGTTCCGGTGGCTTTTTAAATCGTTCCGCACGTTGCACGATGGTTATTGCGTCTGCTAAATCACGGATACTACCTAAAAGCGTATAATAAACAGGGTTGGGAAGTAACTCGTTACTTGTAACGAAGTTACAGTTACAGTTTATTTTTTTTTGGTAACTCTAACTTAACTTTGTTCCTTTTTCTTCATCTATAACTGTAACTTAACTTAGTTACATATTTATGGTAACTAGTAACTAATTTAACAGTTAATTTAATATTTTATATACGGTTGTATTAATGTAAGAATTAGGGCCTATCCAGACAAACTTGCATAGTCGCATAAACATATGCATAAGGAAAGGAACAAAATTGCCATAGGATTTGTCATATTAAGTGTAGATTCGATATTTAAATAAATAGACGGATAACCGTAAAGATATTAATTATGAAATTCAACAGAAATAAACAAATTCTCATTTAAAGAATGCACTGCTACTCACAGTAATAAATTATCTTTGAGGATGATTATCATATAAGCATAAAGTTGAGACTTTAAGAAGAACTAAAACATTAGTTTACGATTTTTCGGAAAGTTACGACTGTTTGTGTGAAATTCGTGAATTTTTAAACTAAAAATCTTAATTCTATAATTTTATTCTAAGTGTATAATAATATATTTTAAATAATTTTTATTTATTAATTTTATTTTTATTTATTTATTAATTAATTTAATATTTTAAATGTATTTTATTTTAAGTTTAAAACAATTGTGATTTATTACATATAAAATAATATAACATAAAATTAAGTACCTATGTATGTAGTATATAATAAGTTAATAAATCTTGAAATGTAAGATTCGTATATTTAGAATAGTAGTGCACATTTATTGCAAAAAAGTAACTGAAAAGTAACGACTCG